CATTCAAAAAATTCCATCACGTTGTCTAGGAAATTGTGCCGTCATTTTTTGAACAAGCTTGGGAAGATCTAGGATAAGCTTGGTTCTATACTACTTATCTTTCAAATGGATAACTATCGTGTACTGTATGTAATGTTTGTTCCTCAGTATAGCCTGTTATCGAACAATTCAGTGATGACCCCTCTTCTATAACTTGGAGAAGAAATTTGGGTTTTGCTGAAGGTTTGCCTATGAAGCTCTTTGAATGCTGATCATTGGGATTGTATACATTTCGCTCGTTTGAGTCTTGCTGTAGGGTTGTCGTAGACGGTAAAAGTGTGTCTCCTCTTTACTCGTCTGACCATTGAGGATAAACGATGCGCAGTGAAATGATAATGAATATGCTTAGCATATCAGATGACATTAGAACACTTTCCAGACAAATTCTGAAATTTAACCTCATCTGTCTATCTAGCGTAACTGTGGAAAGTCTCCACTGCATGGATAGCATGATTATCGTGATCAGCGTATCAAATGGTCCAAGTTAGAGTTCCACCCAAGTGGGGGAGAAATCCAAACTTTTTAGAATGATAACATCCCTTTAAAACTATGTGTGAAAGAGCACACAGCCGAACCCAACATAGATATACCTGAGGAGATCTTTTTGAATGTTTTTTTTTGAACCACCGTAAATGACGTATAATTCATGAAGTCCAAAGGACTTTGAAGAAAATGCTTTTATATATCATATTTTCCATGAAACTAATTTAATTTCAATTGACTAAAGTTGAACTTTCTTTTGGGCTGACAAAATTCTTTAACTTACTCTTTGGCTCTTGACCGTGGTAATTAGTCCGAATAGTTTTCTGTAGACCTTTGCTCTGAGAACAATCGACTATTCATACAAGCTGAGGTTGTTTCAGCCAGGAAGTGGGCGTGTGTTCGAGGGTCCGCCCGTGCCAGCGGAGAGGACTTCGTCATCCACTGACGGCAGCTCTGGCAGTATGGGAGTTGTTAACGAAGTGCAGGTTTGTCCTCCAATTGCGAGCTCTGAGTCAAAAAGAGTAAGCTTAAACGTTATCACGGCCTCTCATCATCGGCAACGAATATGTTTGAATTGTCTCATCAACACTCATTCTTGAGCAGGTGTTTTTTCGCCAATGAGATCAAGTTTGCACTGAGGGGTTGAGAGTCGAGAAGTCTTGAGTGTCATACTGCCAGCTATCGCTACTTTTCGCGTTTCCAGATGGATAAGCCCGATTCAGAGCCGCGAGTTTATGCTAAACGATGGGCAATTCTCATTATGTTCATCTTTCTCAGCGCATCGAATGGCGCTCAGTGGATCATGTACTCGGTCATTGCACAGATTGTCTCCGACTTTTATGGAGTCAGGTGAACTTTACTAGCAAA